ATATCTAAATACAGAAGTCTAGCAGAAGGCAGAGCACTTATCTCAGTTACGGAAGGAACATAACAAGGATTGAAACAAAAATGACATTTCAAAATTATACTGGACCATATAATCAAGGGAAAAGATCAGTGGCGTGTTAGATAAATCATTCCTACCTTTTCCTAGTACTCCTTGCCATAGCTCTCATGTTTCTAACTGGGATCACTGAGATGACCCCTTCAAATGATCAAGACCTCAAAATTTATTAATGACCTGAGAATTTCTTAAATAATCAGGACAAGACAGCACTTGGGCTATTTTTAACCCAAGGCCACACTGTACTCTAGATGTAGAAATCATCCCATATTGTGTTTCTTATCTTATCTCATCTCACATTTACTGAGTTGAGTTGTCCAGCCAAACTTAGAAATAGGTGCATAATTTATGTGAAGTATCAGTCCAGCCCCAACCACACAGTGCCAGAAATGTTAAATGGACACCGTATTTTCAGAATCGCAGGGGGTCAAGAGGATACACAGGACTAATACGGCATCAGCCTCACATCCATAAAACCAAGAAAACGAAATTACTACAGCGATGCAATACAGGATAATTTGCCAGTTCCCTTATTCAGTTCTATGTCCAACCAAAAGTAATATTTCCATATCCCAAATTTAGGGAGGGAAAGGAATGGACAAATAAAACGGAAGAGAGAAGAGGACCTCCATTTGAACTTCACCAGAGTGTTAGTCAATTAATGGCAATTTTCCAGTTCCCAATACAAACTTTAAACTCACAAGGCCAAAGTTTCCCATCAAGAAAGTTAATTGTCCTGCAATGTGCTCCTTTCAGAATATTGCAGAAGCCAAATTTTCTTAGCTGCCTGTGGGTTCTACCCAAGCCTGTGACCTAGGACACCCGGTGAGAAAAAACGTGGTCCTGTTCTCTGCTTCTCTTAAATCTTACCCGTATATCCCTTTCCTCCACACGTTCTCCTCCTATCACAGATCTTGACTTCCACTGGACAAACGTGCCAGCCTTAGTCCAAGCTAAGATGAAAAACAGAGAAAACAAAATGGAGTGCCACCCACAAGAGCTGCTACTTTCAGACAGTGCCTACCTAAGCCCTAGAAATGAAAAGCACCACCAGATTCTACTAACCAGAGGAATGACAAAAATGCAAGAGCTTTGCCTTTTCCAAGTGAAAGTACTTCCCACAAGAAATGCAGCTGCCCCTGCCATCTTGAGTCCCCAAATCCTATCCCAGCAAATACCAGATCCTGCCAGCTCCACATGGGATGTTGACCTATAGATCTCAGCTGGTTGTGCAGTTGGAAGAACCCCATTCTCTCCATGTGGGACTTGGTCTCATAAATTCCAGCCCTACAAACATGACAGCCGTTTTAGTGCAAAGTGACTTGCTCTCCCCACAGGACTATACCTATTAAAATTGCAGTTTGAGATCGCAGACAAACCTGACCAACAAATGAATCCCATTATCAAGTAAAATTATTCTCAATGCTGGGTACACAATAGAATCACCTAGGACCCTTCAAAACAAACAAGCAAAAAAACCTGATGTGGGAGCTATATCCCCCCAAAATTCTACATATTACTGATCTCCAGTGGGTCTGGGTATCACTGTTTAATAAAAGCACCCAGATGAGTCTGACGGCTCCATAACCACTGGTCCAATATGACATCCTGCCACTTCTGCCAAGGATATTGCTCAGTGAGTCTAGGTTTGTGATTTCTGTTTGAAGTCAGGCCTCTCCCAAAGCTGCAGCTGCAGGCTACTCTAGATCCTTAATCACCAAAGTCCAGTACCCTGTATGTTAACACCCTAAAACTGCCAAAGCCAGATGAAGAGTAAAAGATGGGTGAAACCCTGAACTCTACGTGCCTGGTTCTCCTCTGTTCTACCACCTGTCTTCTCCGTGAGCGACGTGCTTTTTTCACACAGTGGAAACCACCCCTGGACATTCACAGCCCTTTCCTTCCTCCCTAACCCGTCAGACTATAGCCACAGAGAACACCATCCAATCCACAATTGTGGCCATCACATCTGGCTTCCCATTCCCTTCGGGCATCAATAAAAGAGGGATGGGGAGGGGGGAACATCTCCCTTAAGCCCTGTTAAATTCAGAGGTACCCCAAACTTCTACTTGTGTAATCACCCTACTACTTGATGTTGTTTGTTACTATCTCCTCCACTGATCTATAAGCACTGCAAAAACTGGAACAGTGCCTGGTACTCAGTAGGTGCTCACTAAAATGTTTGATGAATGAATGAATGAAGAGGAACTGCTGCCATGGTAGGAGTGGAAAAGATGCAGTCATGCCTTCACTGTTAGGCCCACCATTGAACACGGGTAATTGCAGCCACAAGCAGAGCAGAACTCACAATCCTAACCTGAAAACTCAACATTGGCACTTTTTCTTTACTTAAGCACAGCCTTGCTTTTCAAGGCACCAAAACATTTGCTATCTCCTTGTATTCTGCTTTACTTTTCTTCTTAGACCTCCCACACAGCAACACCCTAATTGTTCCAAAGTGCTCTGTTCTGTCTGCTTTGCCTTTACCATTTCCAGCTCAACAGCAGCCTAGTTGTTATGTCCCTCCTTAAAATAACCAGGGGAACTCTTTCTAGCTCTACAGCGTAGTTTCAGAGAGATTAAGTTAAATGTACAGTAGTAAGTCCTTCCTTTCTTGCTTTCTGACTTCCACAATGTTTTGAAAGTACTGAATGCTAAGACTGCTTATCCACAAGATTTTTTTCAATAATGGTATGTTTATCTCAGAGTTCCAGCTTACATGTTAATTGTATTGCTACATGTGGGAGAATGAAGCAAAGATGTTTCGGTAATCATATGGTACCAGGGACTGTGCTACCTGCACTTGACTCAGAGCAGATGAATCTAGCACCTCTGCTCTTACGGACCGAGAAATAAGCAAGAACAGCATGAAGACCAGCTCACAGTAGCAGTCTAGCTCACTTGATATCTTTTGAAATACAGATGCACTGTTTTTCTTCAATATTAATTACTATTAAAGATACTTTCAGGTGGCTAAAAGAGTATAGGATCTGAAATGTTAATAGCCATTGAATCTATTGAAGCACTGCAGGGAATGATGGAAAAAATCAGTGGCGTCAGCAGTATTAAGATCCATTTCTGTGAGTAGTTTTGAAGATTGTTAAAGCGATATCTATTCCACCTACTTACTGATACCTCTATCTTGTTGGCTGTAGGTGGTATGTTTCAAAATATTGTACTCAGACTACCTGCTGTAGAATCATCTAGTGATGATTGGTGGTGGTGAAACAACCACCACCACCACAACAAAAACACATTCTTGAGCCCCAGATCAATAAAGCAGAATCCTTGGGGTTGAGGCCTTGAACTTATCCTGACCAAAACATTCAGCCTTTGAACCATAAAGTCTAGATTGCTTGCTTGAGACTTCCCCAACTGTTAAGCTTCAAATACTCCCAATAGCACTGTCAGCAGGTATTCTTTTTTCTTGAGGGATCTGAGATCAGTTTATGACAAAGTAATTGAAAAGAACGTGAAGGCATAAGTACTCAAGGAGGAAGAAGAGAATACCACCAAGGGGAGGGAATGGAAATAGAAAGCCAGAGTCCAAGAAAATCCTTCTTTCCTTCATCCTTTGCCCAGGTTATATGTCCTATGTCTTGGTGTAGTTCAGTCCAACAAGCATATATTGAGCCCCTGCCATGTGCCAGGCACTAGGGATAAAAAGAAACAACAGGTTCACTGTCCTAGGGGAGTTTACAGTTTGGTAGAGGAAGCAGGCTCTTAAATGAGCAATTTAAATAAACATGGTAAGCAAAAGACAGAGATTTGCCCAAGGAACTTTAGGGGCTAAGAAGAGGGATTTGTAATGGAGACTTAGCATGTAGAGAAGAAATTGCCTGAGTGGGGAAATAAGTAGAAATTAGGCAGGTGGGGGTAGGTGGGGGGCTTTTGAGGAGGAACTAAAGGGAATCCAGGAGCTGGTGGGAAATGGTTCACGTTCCCAACAAAGGGCAACCTGCACAACCAAAATGCTCTGAATCCTAAAGTGATCTCATTTCTATCGGGATTCACAAGCAGTTCAGGACTGCTTTATCATAAGGTCAAAGGAATGGAGAAAGATAACCAGTGATCCTGGATAGGCAGACATGGGCCAAGTCAGAAGGTGTATGTATGTCTTGTTAGCTTTTCAAAGTCCTATTTTGCTAGCCATCTAGAAGACCTCTTAGATCAATCCTTCAAATTCATTCCAAGTTTATGGTCTCAAACTGTTGATTGAAGTTGCTCCAGAAACACGTTACAAGTTTATGGGCCCTCTCTGGGACATTATACAAGAATTGAAATAACTAATAAATGGACAGTAATATCAAAAATTATTCAATATAGGGGCACCTGGGGGGCTCAGTTGGTTGGGCATCTGCCTTCAGCTCCAGTCATGATCCTGGAGTCCTGGAATCGAGCCCTGCATCGGGCTCCCTGCTCAGGGGAGAGCCTGCTTCTCCCTCTCCCTCTGCTGCTCCCCCTGCTTGTGCTCTCTCTCTGTCAAATAAATAAACTCTTTAAAACAAAAATTGTTCAATATAGATTTGAGAATGTTTTAACTATCACTGGAAGGATACATGAAAAACAGTAATATTAATGACCTCTGGAGAGGGAAACTGAAAAGAGAGGTAGGAGGAATTTACATCTCATGGTATACCTTTTGTACTATTTGAATAATTACCATGTATATTTATTGCTTATTCCAACAAGTTTAAAAGAGAAGTAAAGAGACACATTTATTTCATAGCATAAAGAAGCTGTCAACATGTTAAATGGTGATTTGATTTATATTGAAAACCCAGTTAATGATTCATTGATACAACAGTGACAGTAATAGTATTATTAAAGTAGTTTTGTCCTTCACAGCTTGGGAAAAAAATGGGATTGGAGAAATACAGATTTTGTATATCTTCTATAAATTTGGCCTTTTTTTTTCTTTTCAGTTTGCAGCTCATCTTGTGAAGATGAAATATCCAAGAATCTGCATTCTAGACGGTGGCATTAATAAGATCAAGCCAACAGGTCTCCTCACCGTCCCATCTCCTCAAATATGAAGAACCAAGACTGTGACTGTGACTGTGAAAAGGATAGAGTGATATCAGCCCCCAACAGCCCACCTCTTCACAGCCTCATCACTCTGAGACAGAGCTAGACTTCCAGATTGTTGCATTTTCATAAAGTTTTGTCATGAAACATTTTTTTTTTAATCTCATAACCCACATGTTCAACCATCCAGGCAACAAACTTGACTGTACATGTATTGCTGAAAGAATTTCCCTAACAGTGAAATCCGATCATGTATTTTTACCACAGTGCAACACAAAGCCAGAGGAATTCAGCTGACAAGGCAGATTTAGCATTATCAAGAAATCTCAGTTGCACTGAAAAAGCTGTCTCCCATTGCACTGAACAGACAGTCCTAACAAAGGTATTATTTAGAAACATAGACTGAATGGGGGTTGAAATCATCTTTCTATGATAGTGAAACTCAAAAAGCTACTCTCAATATATTCCTTGTAAGTAAATCCTATATTTGGCAACTCATTTTGGCCCAGACAGATCATATGCGTGCATGCGTGCGTGTGTATGTGTGTGTGGTTTGTTTAGGAGAAGAATTTAGCCCACTGAAAAAAGTAATAATTTACTTCCAGAAAAATGAAAGTCAGAAACCATTCACATTAGATAGAACATTTGTTCAGCTCCTATTCAGAGAAACCCAAAATAAGACTGACTTAAACAAACTAGAACTGTATTTCTCACATAAAAGTCTGCATAATGAGTCTAGGGCTAGTATACTGATTTCATAATCATTAAGAACTGAGGTATCTTCGCATTGTTTTATCACCCTCAATACATGGTTTCTATCTCATGGATCAAGATGGCTGCTCAGCTCATACCATCATATATGCCATTTGGAAGGAAGGGAATGAAGGAGGAGGGGGGTGTCGGGGGGAAGGAAAGAAATCGGGAATGGAACAAATAAGAAAGAGAAGGAAGAGAATGCTCTTTCTCTTTAAGGGCACAAACCAGAAGTTGCACATATTACTTCTGCTTATATAACATCAGCCAGAACTTAGACATGTGGCTACACCTAGCTATAAGGGAAACTGGGAATATAATCTTTGGCTGGGAGGTCATTTACCCAGGTAAAAAATAGTATTATTATTTTTTAAAGTTTTAATTGTTTAAAAAATTCATTAAAAATTATTATTAAAATTTATTACTGTGTGGGAAGAGGAGAACACATATTGAAGGATAACTAGCAACCTCTGCCACATTATTCTAAAAATTAAGTACTCTACTTCATTGAATCTCACACATATCACAATTTTATGAACCATAAAGAAAAAAAATGCAACCAAATCAACTGGATATACCATGCATTCCCATTTCAGAAATGTGAAAAAATACGCATCTTAGAATTATTGAATTATAGTTCCTTTCTTGACTATCTTAAATTTTAACTAAACAGTGTTGTTGTTTTTCCTCTTTAACTTATATTCCTCTTCAGTGTTAGGAACTACGTAGGTATAGAACATTTCCATAAGAGCCTCAATTCAACTCTCTGGCTCTGATTTTATTGCTGCTATTTGTTTTTTGGTTTTTTTTTTTTGCATCTACTTTTTTATTGAGATACAATTTACATACCATAAAATTCATCCTTTTAAAACATACAATTCAGTGGTTTTTAGTATATTCAGAATCATCATCTCTACTGTCTAATTCCAGAACATTTTTATTCTCCAAAAAAGAATCCTGTAACTATTAGCAGTCATTCCCCATTAATCCCTCACAAGGTCTTTGATTTAATGTTTATGTATGACATGGGATATGTATCCAACCTCATTCTTGCATGTGGATTGCAAATTGTCCCAGAGGTTGTGACATTTTATTTGTTTTGCTTTAATTGAATTGTATTTAGTCATTCACCAAATATGTTTTAAATACCTATTAGATGTAAGACATTGACATAACTAGTGATTATATCATTGTGTGACCCCTACATCATATAGAAAGAAAAAATGTTTGAGAATAATAAAATTTTACCACCGTTTTCCTAATAGTATTTTGAGGTCATCATCTGCCATGGTAAGAGAAATATTATTAAGTCCTCCTGTCCTTTCCTGCAACCTCTGGTGACTTATCTGACTTCATAGTCCTAACGTGGTACTGATGACCACTTGGAAGGAGTGGTTCCAAGTTCTAAGTTTGAAAGTTTGAAAGCAGAGAAGGATGAGGGGTGGGGATATGATTTGAATGAATTGGTAGGGCAGTAGGGGAAGATGAAGACCTGGGTATTGAGGAGAGCTGTGTGAGAAGGGTATCGAGGAGAGCTGTGTGAGAAGATAATAGTAGCCAACCAATCACAATTTTGCATTTGATCTTTCTTAAAACTTGATACATTTAGGCTTACTTTTTTAAATGAGTTTTTTAACCGTTCAAATTATGAATATTTAATATTCTCAACAGTAAAATAAGAAAGAGCACACAATCACTGCCATGTTTACATTCTGGACATGATATCTGGTGGCAGATAGTTTCAACAAAGTTGACATCAACAACTATTTGTTGCCCTGAACTTATATGACCCATGACTATAGAAGTCCTTGGGAATATATCATTGACTCCTACATTATCACTATCAGCACTATTTGTTTCTGGCATCAGCAGTCTCTTTCCCTCTGTCGGAATGTCCATACTACCACCACCAGCCCCACAGATAGACACACACACATACACACACACACACAAATCCTTTAAACTCCACCAGTAGCATCTCCAGTCATCTCAGTCTTCCCCATGCTGCATGAAAAGCCTCAACTACTAAAGCATTCCATTCATACTTCTAATAATAGACTTACTACATCATTTGGCAATTATCTGTTCACATTTAGGACCCATATTAAAATATGAGACCCTTGAGGTCAAAGACCATAATTTATACTTCTTTTTGTATTCAACAACCTACTACACTGGAGATGCTTGTTAAGTGTAAAATTGAATTGGATCTCTAAGGGATTTTAGAATCTATATGGATAGAAAAAAAACAGGTAATTTTTTCAAATGCCAACTTATCTGGTACCTGGTGATATATAAATAAATTGAAATCGTAATTCACTGAAGAAAATATCTCTAATGTTCTACCTAGCTCTAAAATTCTATAATTCAATAAGTTGGAACAAATAACTTCCAACAACAGAGTAAACTAAGCTAGTTGCATTCCCTTTCCAAAGCATAAAAATGCTAATTAAAAAGAATATTAAAAATGTCTTCATACTTAACCAAGTTTGAAGGAAATAAATTCCTTGATGTCAGATCTGAAGAGGAACTGAAACACTGTCAGGCACATGGGCTATCAGTACAGACCCTGGGAACTGTGGTTTTAACATAGGGTTAAAAGACACACATGAGCATTATTAGGATTATTAGGATAGTGGCACTAATAATTTAGAAGTATTAAATTATTTTACCATTCCCACAATTCTTTGTCCTAAAGATTAAATTGCTTTTGAAATAATTTACTTGAAATATATTTTTGAATAAAATGCCTGTCTCTGCAAAAAAAAAAAAAAAGACACAGCCTTGGGCCTTCTGGTAGGGAGTTTGTATCAGCTACTTTACACAGTGACAGTCTCAAAGAACTCTTTGCTCCATGAAGTGACTAGAAATAACCCCACCAAATCAAGGGGGGTACAGGGGAGATTGTCCCTGTTTTCTGAGTAAAGAAAGACAAATCTGTTGTAGACAGATGGAGGTGTTCAATGGAAATGCTGTAATAAGTCCCCAAATTAGAACAGGTTTTAAGGCATGTGTTCATCTGACTATTTAAAAATGAGAACAATAAATTAAATCAAACTTTTGGAACACATAGATGGTGCCAGATCTTTGATTCCTTTTCCAAATAGTTACATAAAAATACAGCGGACCCTTGAACAACACAGCGGTTAGAGGCACCAACCCCTACACGGTGAAAAATCCTTTTACAACTTTTGCCTGCCTACTGTTGACCATAAGCCTGACCAATAACAGTCAAGTAACACACATTTTGTCTATTATATGTATTAAATTCTGCATTCTTACAATAGAGTAAGCGAGCAAAAAGAAAACGTTAAGAAATCATGAGGAAGAGAAAATACATTTACAGTACTGTACTGTATTTATTGAAAAAGATCCACATGTCAGTGGACCTGCACAGTTCAAACATGTGTTGTTCAAGGGTCAATTGTACTTCTTGATAGATTAATATCAAAAGTATGGTACAGCCTCTCTAAAAGATCCTATGCAGTAGTGTCATCTGGTAAAACCCACTCTCACTGCTGTGAGTGCTATAGAGTTGGTGGATGTTGGGCTGTAGCAGAGTCACAAACCATCCCCTCATGGGTATACGTGATGGCTCCATATACGCCTACTGTTAACCAAATAATTCACTTTCCTTGGTAAACATTCATGAAGCCAAAGAGTGGAAACAAAACAAGAATATTTATGATAGATTTTTGTTTGGGTGTTCAATCTCAAGATTGAACCCTTCACAACTACCACCTTAGATTTTATGTGGAAAAATAACAGAGAAGTGTTACAAACCTTCAGTGTCTGACACTAGCATTTGCTCACACACAAACTTTAGGTTTTCTAAACCAGTTTTATCTCATTTAATGTTAGAAATAGTACGCCTTATAAATAAGCCATTTTAAAAGTTAGCCATATTTTTTTAGGTTGCATGTATTTATATCTTTTCTGAGTAATTTTCTTGTTAATGTCTTATGATAGATGCTTGTCACATGAAGACTAAAATTGGATCTTGGCAAATTCAGTATTCTTTAGATAGATTGTGATATTTGTAACTTCTACCATGACTTCCAGGCCTCATGTCTCCTTGGGTTGACATTCCTTAATATTTTTTTCTCCTCCTTTCAGAGGACACATTTTTAGTTTGCATTCTCTACAGCACTGCAATAATACTGTTCTGTTCTAATGCTCACTGTCACCAGTAAACAGTGCATGGATGAGTACCAAGGCACCGTATTGCCAACATTCCTGGATATTATATATTAATCCTCTGGGTGGTGGAGGTTAAAACACTGTCCTGTCTTGGCTTAAGACTAATCTTGGAGCTATAACAAATGCATTTAAAGCATTAGATCAGACTCTAAATATTGCATCCTGCCACTCTAAAAGACAGCTTTTGAAACTATTACTATCTTTATATAGAAATGTGACTTTTTAAAAAACAGTACATGACCTACCATTCTTTTGAAAAACTGTAATAGTGTGATCACTAGGTAAAGCATTAAAATCTGACAATCCATGCATTAATTTTCTCATTAACTCTGGAAATTTATTCTTGTTTCTCATTCTTATTACTTTTTTTCTCTATTAGCATACTTTTCAATCCTTTAAGGTAGAATAACTTATTATTTTAAGGCTTATAGTGTGCTGGAACTGGCTCCTAGTGGCTTGGGACAGCTGAATATACCCATTTCTTCCCAACTGTATGTTCAATGATCTCACACTGGTAGCTTAAAATTGGCCACAGCAGGAGTATTTACACCGTAGAAATGGCAAACATCACAAATCATGGCTTTCCTTTTATTCTTTTTTTTTAAGCCAGTTAGTTATATTTATCAGCAAACCATAGGTTTTAACCGTCCTATGGTCATTATGTTCTCTATAGATTACAAATCGTGAAAGTAAAAGGAATTTTAAAGATCATCCAATCCAAGCATCGTTTCAAACAATAAGAACAGTGAAATGATTTTGTAAAAATCGCATAGTTAGTAAAAGACAGATCCAAAATTACAATTCTGCTTTCCTGACTGACTCCTAACCCATATCTCTGTCCATCATATATAGAGAAGGTAAAAGGACACCAATTCCCACCCACTACACACTCATTACAGATCGACTTTTGGTCAGGGTCTGTGTTAGATGATGCGTGGGATACA